AAAAATCCTGAAGAGGCTATGTGGCGTTACAAGAATGTAATGAAGAAATTTAGTTGGTTGACAAGGAATATGTTGGTCACTGTACAGTGGGTGGGGAGATCAGAAAATACTTTGTCAGATGTGTTAGCTAAGCAAGGGGTAAATAGGGAAGAATTGTTTTGGGTTCAGTTGTGATTCTTGCTTTTCTTTCCTAATTTACTTGTAAGATTCAAGGAGGGGCTGCAGCTCGCGCCTCTCCCTGTGATGTTGTATGAACTCACTCTAAATCTGCTTCTGAATTAATAAATTTATTTTCATTCCTCAAAAAGAATGAAAAGTTGTATTGTCAGTAATCTTTTTCTGGGGAATTTCTCCCTTCGTTATGATAGCTAATGTACATGGCAACATTGGCACACATTAAAGGAAACTAAATGGATTACAAGGGATCTGGTGGACTCCTTTCATTGGGTTTATAGATCGACAAACAACATGACAGGTTCGTTAGCTAAGCATGGGGTAAACAGGGGGCAGTTCTTTTGGGGGACTGCCAACTGATGTATATCTAAAAGACTGTATGAGGGTGGAAATGAGGATAGCCCAACAAAAAGGGCCAGCTATCTTCATAGATAACATTCTTCTGTCACAACCAATAAAGTATCAACATTAACAATAAAAGAGAGATAGATATGCTTTTGTCCACTCAACTTTCTCCCAAACCTCTCCACCATTGGGTCCTTTATAGGTTCTTTAATGTTGTGTTTGGTACTATTGCTGTTTCTACGTGAAATGTTTTGGGTTGATCCATACAATTTGGTGAGAGAGAGATTTTTTCTATGTGAAACATCTTGGGTTGATCAATACACATTGTTGTTTCTACCTAAAACATCAATTTGACGCTTAACTATTGACTCAATGAATACATGCATTTTTTCTAGATGGAGTGACTGAGTCTCATATATGATGTGACAACATATATTTCTTCATTTCTTTTTTTTTTTTATTGAAAAACAACAACAACAGCATATATTTCTTTTTTTTCTTCTCATGCAACTATAATTTGCATCTAGTTGCCAATTCTTTTGCAGGCAATTGAAAAGTTAAACACATTAAAGAGAAAGAGAATCAGAATTGCAAAGCTGCTTCAAGTTAGGGAATTGCATGGTAAAGTGCTTAATTTCAATCAGTTGAGGTGTAATTTTCAACAGGAATACCAAATGATGCAAGCTTCTCATCCTGTGGTATGTTCACTTAATGATCAGGCTAATTGTTTTAAATGCATACTTTTCCCATCATGTCTAATAATTGCTTTGAAATGATGATGCTTACACTGAAATTCAATTTAGATTATGACAAATTAAGTTTTTATATTGACACTGGCACTGTTCCAAATAATCTTTTCCAAATCTTCAAAGCCTGCAACCATGCATGAAATATTTACATGTTTAACTGTCCGACCAACATGGCTTTTGCAATGCCACAAAACAGATACAACCTATGTATTTCAGATGCCATTGTTTAGGCTTTTTTTTGCTCTGATTGATAACAATTCACCTTATTAAATTATGGTAAAAATTGTCTAACACCCCCTCAATCTAGATCATTATGTCATTAAGGATTTTCTCTCTCTTTCTTTCTTTCTCTCTTTCTCACAAAATGGAAGAAGACCATAATGTGTTTTGTCCTTTCATGGAAAGCTGAATTAGATGCAACCTGATTATCATGAAACAATTTTATGGCTGCTATTATTGGAGACTTCATCTCTTTGAGCAGATTGAAGAGGATGTCATGTAAAGAACTAGAGCAAGTTGGGGCAAAATGGAGGGGTGCATCTGGATTTCTGTGTAATAGGTGAATATCACTTAGATTAAAAGGAAAATTCCATAAAATAGTTGTAAGGACAGCTATGTTGTATGGAGCAGAGTGTTGGGCAGTCAAGAAACATGTCCAGAAAATGAATGTGGCATAACTGTGAATGCTAAGATGGATGAGTAGAAAAACTAGAAAGGATAGGATCAAGAATGAAGTCATTCATAAGAACCTAGGAGTAGCTCCGATAGGTGATAAAATGAAAGAGTAGACTAAGATGCATAGTTGTCAAGGCGCCTAGGCAATGGAATTTGAAAATATAAAATCTATAGATTTCTACCCCTCCTAAGCTAGTTTATTTGTTTTATATATCAGTCAACAAACCGGTACATTAACTATTGGCAACAAAATCTTCCATATAAGTATAAATTTCATGTAAAAAGATAAAATGCCATCATATATTCATCATTTAAATATATTAATTTTGATAAAAAATTTAAATATATTAATTTCAATATTTAACTAAGAATTTAATAAAGCAAATAAGAAGCAACTAATTACTAGGCAAAGCCGAGAGAAGAAGAAGGCTATGTTTCAAGCTAGTAAAAAGGAGAAATGGAGGAATGCCGAATGCAACAGAAAAAAAGAGAGAAATATAAGTGGAGCCCCTGTTTCATTCCCAAAAATATTTCTTACAAAAAATAAGAAAATAAAACACATGGGTAATAGGACAACTTGGACTGTTTAAGAAGAAGAAAATAAAATATAAGAGTAACAGGATGACTTGGATTGTTGAAGGGGGTGGAGCCCTTGTTTCATTCCCAAAAGTATTTCTTAAAGAATAAGAAAATAAAATATAGGAGTAGAGTAACAAGATGACTTGGACTATTTAAGAAGATGAAGAACGTTTGGTTTGACTTACCTAGAGGTCTTGGATTGAAACAATGGAGACTTCTCAGTCTTCCCTTCTCTAATTGGTTTAGACCCCAAACCTTGGACAAAGGAAGAAACTTTTGTACTTTTATTTTGCTGAATTGCACCAATAAAAACTTATAATATGCAATGGGGTGTATTCTAATAAAATAAAGCTAACCATTAAAAAAAATCATATAATATGTGTGGACCAACTAACAATCTGAATAGGCAATCTAGGTGCCCACCTCATCACCTAGTCATGTGCCTAATTATCTGGGTGAGCACCTAATAGGAAAATCGTCTGGTATTTGGGCGAGGCAACCCATGAAAACCACCTAGTTGCCCACCTGGGTGTTGCCTTGACAACTATGCTAAGATGGTTTGATTACGTGCATAGAAGACCACCAACACCACCTAGGCATGTGCCTAATTATCTAGGCAAGCGCCTAATAGGAAAATCGTTTGGCGTTTGGGCGACTCATGAAAACCGCCTAGTCGGCCACCTAGGCGTTGGCTTGACAACTATGCTAAGATGGTTTTGTCACATGCATGGAAGACCACCAACATCTCTAGTTAGAAGAAGTGCCTTGTTACAAGTGGAAGGGGCTAGATGAGTTAGGTGTAGACCAAAAAGGACATGGGTAGAAGTAGTAAGAAATGATTTAAGCACTAATAATTTAAATTGAATGGATTGGCGAAACAAGATTCATGTAGCTGACCCCATATAGTTAATTCACATGTATATGAGCCTTGTTACAAGCTTCTTGCTACTACACTATTTCTTATTCTTCTAAGTGACAGAGTTTCCTCCCAAGAATGCGCAACACCTAGTAGTAGACCTCCTATTAGATGATAATCCATCTCAGTCCATATTTTTCTACTTGCAAATGATCACCATCCTTGTATAATAGTTCACATCTCAATGCAACTTTCAGATATTGCAAAACCCATGTAATTGCATCTCGGTGAGAGATCTGATGAGTCCATTTGAACTAACTTAACACACCCACAACTAATGAGGTATCGGGTCTTATAATGGTCAAACAGTTTAACTTTCCAACTAGTTGCATGCATCTCCTTGGGTTTTCAAACAATTCACCTTCATCATTTTTTTTTTTTTTGATAATTGTTCACCTTGATCATTACTCAGTCTCATATTAAGATCCATTGGCATGTTTATAAGATTTTCCTTTAACAATTGTCTCTTAAGGCACATCAACAACATACTTTCTCTGAGACAAGTTAATACCACATTATAATAAAATCATCTCAATATCCAAGAAGCATTTCAACTAGCCAAATAGGATGTTTTGCTGGGAAGTGTTTCTAGAAAGAATTAACACATGTGATTTACTTGAAAGAAAAAGACCTAGTGTTGCCTATCCCCCCATTGTTGTTCTCTTTGTAAGACTTAGGGTGAGATTTGTTATCACTTATTAATCTCCTTCCCCTTACCTTTTTTAATTCGAGAATGGTTCCTTTCTTTGTTTGGGTGTAGGTGGAGCCCCCCACCAAATGTACAGCCTATTTGCCTCTAGCTTTGTTAGTTGACTGAAGAAGAGGGGAAGAACTCTCTGGAGGTGTAGAAGGGCAGCTGTGTGCTGGACAATTTGGGAAGAGAGGAATCGAAGAACCTTTTCAAGGATTGAGAGGACTAGGGCTTCCTTATTTGAAGTCATTACCATTAGAGTGGTCCACTGGGTGAAGTCCCTGAAACTCTTTAAGGACGTTCCTGCTGATGACTTGATAAGGAAGTGGTTTGAACTTTGAAGTAGCTAACTCTACTTCTCTCAGGGCTGTTATTAAACCATCTTGGTCCCCATCTGGCTTCATAAAGCTGAATTTTGATCGTAGTGAAGGTAATCCTCTCTTGTGTATTTCTTCCAACTGGTGTGTTCTTTGTAGAGCTCATGGGGAAAATTGCTATCACTTATTGATTTCCTGTCCGGTCTTGGAAGAGTTATGGGTTTGGATCCTCTCGTTGTTTGGGGGTGTAATTGGAACTTACCAGCAGATGTACGCATGATTTTTGATCACTCTACCTTCTCTTGGCCCAAATAAAGAGGGAGAGTCATGTGGAGATGTGCTCAGGCAGCTTTCCTTTGGACCTTACGGGAGGAAAGAAATGCAAGAATCCTCCAAGAAAAGGAGAGGAGCAGCCTAGATTTGAAGGATCGTGTTCCGAATAGGGCAATACACTGGATAAAAACCATGGAGCTTTTTCAGCAATTCTCCTTTAGTGATCTTTGGAGTTCTCCTCTAAGATCAGAGTAGCTATGAGGTGGATTCCCCTGTCTGCAGGATCTGTAAAGCTGAACTTTGATGGGAACAGCCTAGGCAATCCAGGACCTTCTGGAATGGGGGGAGTGTTGAGGAAATCGGAGTGGAGAGGTGGTCCTTCTGTACTCTGGTCCTCTAGGACATGGAGATTCTGTTAGGCAGAATCTCTAGCAGCTGTACAAGGGGTTCTTTTTGCAAACCAGATGGGGGTGGAGCAATTGATTATTGAAGGGGATTCTAAGGTAGTGGTGGGTTGGCTGAATAACCCCCCGAACTCTGCTCGGTGCTACAAAACTAAAATCAAGAAGTTCAAACGGCTGGCAAGGAATATGTATACTTCTGTACAATGGGTGGGGAAATCAGCAAATGCTTTGGCGGATGTGTTAGCCAAGCAAGGGGCAAACAGGGAAGACCTTTTCTGGGCTCAATTGTGATCTGTGTTGTTTTTTCCTTGTAATTTGTTGGGGGAGGCTGCAACTCGTGCCTCCCTGAGGGTTGTATGAGCTTTCATTCTCAAACCTTTTTATGATCTAATAAAATTTCATCACTTATCAAAAAAAAAAAAAAAAAAAGAATTACTGCTCTATACTCAGGGCCAGTCGGTATGGGTGATTCTTTGAGGGCTGAAGAAATGGTGGTCTTAGGAGTTCAAAATGCTAAGGAACTGAATATCCATAAATTGATAATTGAAGGGGATTCAAAGCTTGTTATAAATTGGCTGCAAAAGGAGAAGGATGCTGGTTGGTGGGGCTACATTTATGAAAGGAGAATCAGATGGATGCTACAAGGAGTGGAGATTAATCTACAATTGGTGAAAAGAGATGCCAACTCCTTTGCTGATGCATTGGCTAAGCAATGGGTGGGAAGGAACCGACTGTTTTGGGCTTTGTTGTAATAATTTCTTTTTATTGAGGGAGAGCTAAGAGAGTTTGTCTCTCCCTTTCCTCATCTTTGTACTTCATTGACTTAATTAATGACATTGTTTCAGTTATTGATAAAAAATGCTTTTGTAAAGTATCTTTAAGCCCTTCTATGCTACTAGTATTGCTGCTTGTAATGACTATAAGTAACATAAACCACTAGAATAATCTTCCATGCTGTAGTGTCATGACTAAACATGAACTGATCAATACTACATTGCTTCAAGCTGAAGTCCTACACAACCCCACTATATCTATCAAATCATGCTCGGGGAGACTTCTTTTCCTATTATGCCTTTCTTTATCTTGCACACCTTCATAGACTTCCCTTGAGCAATGAACCCTGGAGTTTGCTCCAAGACCTCATACAAATTGCCATGAAGGAATGCATTCTTAATGTCAAGCTGAAGGAAAGGCCAACCCAAAATGGCAACAAGTGATATAATAATATGAATAAGATAAATTTTAGCGATTGGAGAAAATGTCTCAAAATAGTCTACTTCACTCTGCTCTGTCCCTCTCCTTGTCACATCACACTTAGAACTTCATGATCAGTAGTAGAGTAAGATTAAGTTAAAAGGAACATAAGCTAAACCTCCTAAGCTGGAAGGCCAGAAATCATTGCTTGGAAGCCAATGCCAAAACTACAGGACACACTCTTATTCCCAAGGAGAAACCACACAATTAGTCCAAAAGAATAATAATTCAATATAGCTCACTCCTATCTATACTCTCCCTAATCAAGCTGTCATCTAGGCAGTTAGCCAATATATTGATCCAATGGAACAGAATGTTCCCCCTACCTGCCAAAATATCATACCTAATAAAATTTATCTGAAGCCAAGGATCCTCCTTCATAAAACGCAGTATGCCATTTAAGTGGTTAGGTTGCAACCCTTTTGGTTGGCATCCAAAAATTGGTTTCAAAATCTCTGACATTAAGTTAACATAGTATCTCTAACTTTTTTGTTGGTACTCTGGTTTAATGGGTTTTTCCATGCATTACAGATATGGAAGTACCAGAGCACTGATAGGATTGCTGATAGTGCTCTGGAACAATTACATGTTGATATCCAAACAGCACAGGGCCAAAGTGAAACAGACGTGTTATTAATGGGCAACATGAATGGCTCTTTGAGGTATGGCTAAGGTTGTACCCAACTAGGTATTTCATATTGCTTAATCCTCTTATTTTGCACAGTTGTTTATATTGTTTATCCATGCCAAGCCAATTCAATTATTTTCAGTTGAGCAATGTAAAATTTACCCTTGCTTAGAACAAGTTGTTCTGCATTTGATTTGGAATATTTGACAGAAAGTAAATACTAATCTAGATGGTATGCATATATGTACATATTCATGTACATACAGTACTGTTAAGACTTAAGACAGCTCGTTTATATCTTATACATTTACTAATTATTGTAATGTTGTGTCTAATACTGTCTTATGTAATTTAAGTGCACCTGGGGGCATACTTGTCTTTTACCCATCTTTTTTTTAATTGGTTAAAACCAAATATTTTATTAATAAAAATACAGAAACACAGTTTTTACAGAAGAAAGGTTGTATACCACCATTTGCTGTCTATCCCAAGGTGATTCTTACATTGTTTTTTCCCTTGAAACAACAGCCCAAAACATTTCAGATCTATTTATTTACCCCTTTCCTTGTATAAACTCACCAACAAATGAGTAAAGGATTGAAGAAGAGACGAGAGAGGAAGAAGAGAAAGAGGAGAAGAGAGAAAGAGAGATGAATTGAATAGGGTGTGTTGCCTTAGGATTGGCACACCCTTTACTATTTATATTAATGTGTTTAAAAAGTAAGAAATTACAAATATGCCCATCACATTTGAAATTAGACATTCCTACACTCCACCTTAAGTGGGCATAGATGTCAATCATGCTCAACTTGTCTACTACAAAATCAAGTTTCTTATTTATTAGACCCTTTGTCCAAAAATCAACAAGTTGGTCTTCTTGATATATGGGAAGCAAATCTCATTTCTGTAAATATTTCCTTTATAAAATGTTTGTCAACTTTTACATGCTTAGTTTGGTCATGTTGCATAGGATTATGAGTTATATTAATGGCTTCTTTATTATCACAATCAAGGATTAAGGTATCGGTATGATACGTCTGATACGGGGTGTATTGTATTGGTATTAGAAGGCACCGATACTGGATACACTACGACTAGAAGTGTATCCTTCTAGTCTTGCGTATCGTATAGTATTGACCAATACGGTCCGATACTCAGCGTTATGGAGACGTATCGAGGGCCTGTATAAAAATTAGAGGGTGGCGTGATTCGAACCCAAGACATCCACACCTAGTAATTAAACATGCCCTTAACCACTAAGCCAACACTCATTTTATGATAATAAGTGAAACACATTAACATTTATTCAATTTAACGTCCATAACCAATTCAAATAAATAACATATATTATATTCAACCACCCCAACTATAAATTAAAAAGAATGATATTTAAGATTAATATTTTATAAACTATTAGAACAAATAATCTATCAAACCCAAATTTATATCAAAAATGATTTTTAACCTCAAGAAATTTATACAAATAAAATATTAATAATAAAATAATTATTTTAGTACTTAAAATTTATAAATTTGCACATGATATGTATCTTAAAAATTTTATAAATTATTAATGAGTATTTTAATTTCTATTAAATAACAATGTATTTATTATTTACAAATTATTTGAGAATATAATATAAATGAATCTACGTTTATATAAAAATTGATAATTTAAAGAAATAAAAATATTAATAATGTAATAATTATTTTAGTAATTAAAATTATGAATTTACATATGATATGTATCTTCGAAGTTTTAATAGCTTTGATATATTTTAAAATTATATATTTTTGTAAATTATTAATTGTATTTTAATTTACAATTAATAATAACATATTTATTTTTTACAAAAATAAAAATATTATTTACCAAATATTTGAGAATTAAAATTTTAGTTGACCTTTTTTGTTAATGTTAAAAATTAAAAAGTAAATATAAAAATTCAAATATAATAGTTGCATATGTTTTTTATGCCTTGGACTTTGGCTGTGTATGTATTAATTTGTAAAGATCTATATAATATATGTCTTGGACTCTTGATTAATTTATTATCAATAAAGTTGTACGATATCTATGCATCTTAGTATAATAATTATAATGCATTTCTGCATATATACCATAAAAATATATTTATACACTATTTGTGATTATTTTGACATTAAATTTAGTGGTATTAATATACTTATGGAATTTGTATGCATTTTCCCAACATATCCAAGCGTTTCCATATTTTTGTCCATATCCATGCGTTTCCAAAGTGTATCTGTATCCATATCCAAGCTATCCGATTTGATACCCGATACTGATACTTTAATCCTTGATCACAATACAACTTGATCAAAACCAAGCTCCTTCAAAAGCATTTTTAGCCACAACAACCCTGATATTCCATCTTCCATAAAATGGAGTACTATTTCTGCATTAGACCGAGCCACCGACATTTTGTTGTTTGCTCCTCCAAGTAACTAAGGCTCCATTTAGGAAGAGTTAAATACAAATATTTTCATTGCAAATAAAAATATGCAGGTTCATGTAAATGACAGCATTTGCATTTGCACTCTTCCCTAATAGAGCCTAAGTTAGACCTTCTATCATCCAATGACCCAGCTCAATTTGCATCAGTGTATACCTCCAATTGAAGATGCCTTTATTAGAGAATAAAAGTCCTCTTTCAGGAGAAGCCTTCAAATATATGAGAATCCTCTCAGCGGCTTCAAGATGGGGAACCCGAAAAGCATGCATATACTGACTTGTTACTCCAACTACATAGGTAATGTTTGGCCTTGCTAAGGACAAATAGAGAAGTCTTCCCTCCGATCTCTGAAACTTTCCTTTATCCTGAAGAAATTCTCCATCAATCCCATTCAGGTGACGATTAGAGTCAATAGGAGTGCCAATAGGCTTAGCACCCATCTTCCTTGTTTCTTCTAGAAGATCAAGAGTGCACTTCCTTTGAGGTACAAATATTGCCCTCTTGGACCTTGTCACTTCAATGCCCAAGAAATATTTGAGATCCTCTAGATCTTTAATTTCAAATTCAGAGGCCAGAAAAGCCTTTAGTTTCTCAATCTCCTCCTGATGATCACCAATCACATCAATATCATCAACATATATGATAAGAGTAGAAATAAGACCTTTCTCAATCTTAACAAGCAAAGTATGATTTGCCTAGCTTTGTGTGTACCTAAATTTCTTTATAGCAGTACTGAATTTGTCCAACCAAGCCCTTGGAGATCGTTTCAGTTCATAAATAGACTTATTTAACCTATAAACCCTCCCTAAAGGTATCACAACACCTGGAGGAGGAAGCATGTATACTTATTCTTTCAATTCATCATAGAGGAAAGCATTTTTTGCATCTAAATGATGTAGGGGCCAAGATTTATGAGCAACTAGTTTCATTTTTAATTAGAGCCTCCATTTCACAGTTTTCACTATCCATGGAAGCTTTCCATTCAGATTAGAGAAGGGCTTCAGATACACTCTTTAGAATGATGATGGAGGATATGGAAACGAGAAAGGTTTTATAGGACTGGGATAAACAAGAACAGAAAACAAAATTTGACATAGGATGTAAGGTACACTTCCTAGCCCTTTTTCTCTAGGCAATAGGAAGATCAGGATCATCAAAATTAGGTTTAACATGAATAGGAGAAGAATCATCAACAGGAACAATGAGTAAAGAATCAACAATGATAGGTGAAGAGCCCGAATTATCTGGACTTGAATCTGGATGGCCGGAGAAGACTCAACTAAACTTTCACCAGTAGTTGCAATATCTTTCCTCTTACCCAGTGGCCTTGAGTAGACTTTCAAAGGAGAAGATGGAGATGGAAGGGAAACAAGAGTAGGAAGAGGCAATAGTCTATCTTCAATAGAATTAGTATTCTCCCCTTAAAAAAGAAACATGAGGATAGAATGGAGTATCCTCAAAAATGGTAATATCTATGCTAACTATCTCTTACCAGAGACAAGACCAAAGCACTTATAACCCTTTCGAGTAGACGAGTACCAGAAGAAAATACCTTTGACTGACCATTTTAATTGCTTTACAAGTTAATGCTTGTACATATATTACCTACTTTGTTTTTTCTTTTTCTTTTCTTTCTTTTTTGATGGGTAACTTAGATCTTTATCAACTGTCATAAAGAATATTAACTTTATAATTTTCATCTTGTTGAGGAGAGTAGATTTCTTGTATTTGGGGCAGTAGGATGGCTTAGTCTTTCTTTTATTAAGTGTACTCCTGTCCATATTCCATAATTTATCATAAGTAGGGGTATTTATGTAATCACATCTTTATTTACATTAATAGAAGTAGTGGGCTTAAGAGGGATAGATCCTTCTAATCTACTCTCTAACCAGTTCGACTGGGTTCTCTTCACCCAAGCCCCCTTTTTCTCCTTTCTCCTTTCTCTTTCTCTTCCTTCTCTTCTCTCTTCTCTTCTCTTTTCTTTCTGGTTTGCTGCCTTTTATTACTGTTCAACTGTGATTACCATGCTTTCATGGTATCAGAGCAGGTGAAGTGATTAGGGTTTTTTTCTCCTTTTCTTCCTAATCGGTTTGATTTTTTTTTTCTCTTCTGAGTGTTCCACAATTGTTATTGGTCATTGGAGTTGAACCCAGATAGACTTCTGGGTGATTTGTGATGGTTTATACCATCACAGCTGCTGTGAAAGGTGACTGGTGATGTGTGTGACCATCTAGTGGACTTGAACCAAGAGGGAAACTATTATTTTATGGAAAAACTCAATCTGGACTGTGTACAAACTGTGAGGTGACTGAATGATGATGCTAAGACAAGTATTTCAAATTGTTAAGTGAAAGGTGCGTTTTGTGATTGTGAGAGTGACAAGGTTGGTATCTTCCATCCTCTATTTGCTTTCAGCAGTATTGTTGGGTGAAGATAACCTTTGGAAGTGTGTGTAGCTTTGATTGAAGTTAAGTGCAGCATAATGGAGTCCGATGCAACCATCATTATACCTACAAACTTTTTGTTTTTTGGGTAAATAGCCTACAAACTTTATGTT